CCCCCCTAGCTACGCCCATGCTTCTCTGCTCGCAACAGAAATAATAGCCGATTAGAATGTAATCGCGCAAGACAGTGGCTGTAACGCGCTTTTTAACAAAGCAACAACGTTCCTTCTCCGCCTTAAATTGTTCGGAGTGTTAACAAAGTAACGTGCAACAACAGAGGTGAGCCAAAGCGTCGATATTGAGGTTGTAATATTTTTACATCGTACAGACTGTTACGGCAACGTTTAGTGTGTGATTTAAATCATGCGCATTAGTGTTCTTTTGAGAGATATTTTTTCATTAATGTATCAAAAATCGTTACTATCTTTGTTAGGAATTATCCCACCTATAAAAGTTACTCGACCTCTGTCGTCACGTTCTTTCGTTCACGAAAACAAAGAGACTTAGATTTGCGTCAGCTGATTCAAATTTTGTAATTTAGTCCATTTTGGTCTTATAAGGAACTGTGCCTATAGATTTTTTTCTTTAATTTCTCAGCCAGTTCTGCGTGAAATTCCTTGCTAATTTCAAGATGTGGTGTGTCTCGACACATCAGTTACCTTCAAAGATCGTCAGGCCTTTACTATAGATCGTCTGATACCGGCTTAGTGCCGGAATCACACGCTGAATTTGGCAGCTGAATATGAAAGTCAACAATCATCTCTCAACGGCTGAAATTTCCTAAATTCGACTTATTTCCATTAGGATTTGTATTAAATCTATTCAAATGGTTCAGACAAATCCGACATTATCCGATGGTCGCTGAGAATCGTTGCTGAATTTTGCGCGACACGCGCAAAATTCAGGCATTAGGCCGATGACTTCCACATTCAAGCCACGTAAGATTCCGGCATTATTTATTATTCCATCATTAATTATTTCCAATTCCACCTTTCATCGTCCCTCTTCGCCGGGTTGCATTGTTCACTTGGCCAAGTCAGCTGATTCTATCCTTCCTGTTTTTTTTTTCTTTTTTCTTTGAATATAAGTCACTAGGTACTATGTTAGTTCAAATTATTTTGCCAGCATTTATTCTACCTCCCTCCTCCCAGCTCATTTTTCTAACTTTCTCACCCCCAACTCATTTTTCTATTGATTGTATAATTTTGTTTATAGCATGCCCTGCAGCCCTGCTCCCTACCACCGAGAAATGGGAAGAGGTTTTGAAATCATGTCAGTTTGCCTTCAAATATTAGTGTAGGCAAAACAAGCTCCCACGTGGTCGAATAGTGGTATCATCCCCGAAACATTATGTGCCTAATGCCCCGGTACATTCCAAGGAATTAATCCCCCGTTACTACATTAATAATTTTTGGTGAAGTATCCAGACCTGTGACTTCAGTCACGGGCTTTTTGCTACAGTTTTCAATAACTTTCATTGTACAAATCGTGTCCTACGTGAAATTTTGAAGAGAGAATATGTAGTTACCATAATGCTAAAATTTGGACCTTCCCTGGTAATCCATATGACTTACAACTGTGACCCAATGTTCTTGAGGGTATTAAGGAGTTGATAAATAGCATGGAGAACTGAAAATTGATATTTTGGACTCCATACTGGTTTTCTCGTAATGATGATGAACAGTCTAAGTTTCCCTCTTGGGGCACACTTTGCCTAACTCCATCGTATATTATGTAGTTTTTTATCTTCAGATGAACAACTTTGTTTTTGATCCGAGGTCATATTCACATAATACAAATCATTGCACTGAAATGTTACGCTCTATTTTTGCAGAGGAGAAACATTTTTACTTTGACAGCGATGATATAATAATGGAAACAAAAAAGAAACATTATGAAATGAAAATCAAAGATCCATCAAGCAATACAAAACCACCACAGTCAATAAACGTAAGTATAACTACGCCATGAAGAGGTTTCTTAATTCCAAAAATCATAATCCCGGATCCTAGTGAACTATATAGGCAATTCATGTCTCGACAAATCATCAAACCTACATGAACATGCCAGACAAAGAGTGAGATCAGATCTAATCCATTCGTTGAAAAGTGAAAAGGGAAGAAATTGGAGGAACGCTATTCATATCCCTGCTAGAAATTTGTCATTCCCATGGGAATGACATGTGATCGAAATTTGCGGTCTCACGGGAATGACATGAGATCACATGCGCTCCTGGGGGAATGACATGTGATCACATGCGCTCCTAGGGGAATGACATGTGATCACATGTGCTCCCAAGGGAATGACTTCCCTGGGGAATGGACAGGGGAGCCCGTAAGCTCCCCTCGGAGCCGATATGTGACCCGTGTACTCTCATGGGACTAGGGCTGTTCTATCGGTTGTCGGTAAGCTACCGAAACAGTTCCGTTAAGAAACAGTTACGATAAGAGCGCTCTTGCCGATAGCGATCAGAGTTTTCGGAGCTGGCGAAAATAAGATGTTGCCATTTGTACATCTATTTTACGCGCCGCCGCGCCAGGCAATCTGATAAACCTACACACAGGGCAACAATGCATTAAGTGCGAGCTCTCAAAACTCCGATAAGGCCGGCTGTTGTCGATATCATCGCCACTGTCGGTACTGCCGCCAGTTTCAATAAGAGACGATGTCGATAGTGTTCCGGCAAGAATTCGTTTGAACACCCCCACATGGGACCTCTCAAGGTGTCTCGTGGATCATCATAGAACTTCAGGGAAAATGCCACGGGCCCATATGTGACTGCATACCACCATGTACAGTGGAGCATCACAGAACTATATTCATGGGAAATGCGTACAGGACCTTACAGCGTTCTGCAAAGACGTAACCGAACTTGGGAACGGATACAGTGCGACAAAATTTAGCGTATTTATCTACTTTACATGCTTTACAAGTTATACCCTGATAAAAATTTCCCCTCGGAATGGACGCGAGATCACATGTGCTCCCCTGGGGAATAGCCAGGAAAGCCCCTTTGCTCCCAAAGGAATGACAGGGGGTCCCTTGCGCTCCCAATGGAGTTTACAGGGGGTCTCACCTGTGTAGGTGCACCCATGGGAGTCTGGGAACCGACTTTTTTCAAACATGAAAGTAGCTCATACTCCTTTCATACTGCATTCATATTATTCAATTTTCACATACTGCTTCCATGCTATGGTCAACATGACAGCAGTCTGAAATCATATTGACCACCAAAAAACAGTTTGATATCATGGTACTTAAGTTTTTCAGGGGAGTCAGCTGCTTCAAATATCTGAAATTTGCTAATTTTCGTCCTAAAAAGAAATTTCAAGGAATATTTTTTCAAAGTCAAGAATCAGCCGAATACTTCTAAGCCATGTTCATTCTGCTATCTACACATCAGGGTGCTTTATTTATTTCTAGGAAGGCTTGCAACATTAAAGTTAGGTATTTGAAAATCTCTCTTGATATATCCACACGATGAATAAGCTATCATTTATATGCTGTTTTTCTTTCTTGATAAGAGAATTATTTATCTCTTCTCTCAAACCAACTTGCTGAACTATCAGCCAAGAAGATCAAATCTCTCTTGATATCTCTAACATGATCAACAAGCTAACAGTCATATGCTTCTTTTCCTTCTCACAATCAGTCAGTGAGGTATCTATCACTTCCCTGGAATTAAATTGTTATGAACTATCAACAAAGAAGTATGCACCTATTTTAAAAAGAAAGAAAGAAAAAAAATCTTACTCAGAAATTGACAAAAGATAATTCACACGATGTTTTAAAATTTTGCTGGCAAGGCAAGTTTTTCTTTTCCTCTTTAAAGGTGAATCCTCGACTGTAGTCGTGGAAAAAGGCACCACGTCACGGACTTCGGCGACGCACAGAGCTCCGGCCGTCCAGCCCGTAAGTAGCGCCGAGTGCTCCCACTGCGTGCGTACTGCGTACGGAGCGCGAGGCCGGGAGTTACGGCTTTGATTTCCGGAACTCTCCGAGTCGTCACCGCCCGTAGCAATCTGCCCGTCAGGCCCCACGGTTCGTTTTAATTTTTTTTTTTTTTTTTTTTTTTTTTTTTTTTTGTGATCATCCGCGATTTTTTTTTTTTTAAATAAAAGTGTCAAGGATGGTTTTTAGATTGAGCAATTGAAAAACGCAAAATCTTAAGTGCGGGGCCGTTTCTTTATTTTCAACTTTTTCTAATTTTAAGGGTAAAATTGCGGCAAAAGCCAATGTGTGACCACCAAAACCCACCGCCATCTGGTCAAATTAAGGTACAATTTTAAGTATGTTAGTCGATGACATTTCAATGGGTCTCCTCACCCTCCCTCGAAGAATTACACCCCCTCATGCGGTGGCATCACGTTACGCACCCGATAATGACGCTGCTGACGGGGCAATGTAGATTTTGAGTTGCGATTATTATCCCTGAAAATCATGAAATCACTAACCATCATAAACTGAATTTTAGATCCAATTCGATAAAAGTATGCGCAGTTGTCATAATTCCGTTTTTTGAAATTGCAAAATTTGAGTAGAAAATGTCAATTTTTTTATTTGATTAAAACCAGTCAATGCTTATTTTTCAGCAACACTATCGAAATATGGAACTTGAATATCTTTTGAAGGAAATTCAAGATTCATCAATGAAAAAGGTGCGTTTCATCCTGTATGCAGGTTTGCAAAAACTTTTAAGCAGCAACAAAAATGCCCTCCGCGCGGAAGATGAATCTTGGGCGGTCTAGATTTAATATGGGTGCACTCTTTTTACTAACTGAGTAGGACAGGAGTTATCTTTTCTTCTCTTCGCTAAATTTAAGTGAAAAATTATTCAAATTTTACTTTTTGATGCCGAAGTAAATTCTGAAAACCTCATAAAATCGCTCGCACAGTTATTACACGGAAAAAACAAACCTACCTATCTTGGTTATGAGGCTCTAAACTCCATTTCCCACACCACGATATTTTTGCTGTTACTTTTAATTTTTGGAAATCTGAAACAGTTAGATAAAACGCACTTTTATCATTCGTGAACTTTGAAGTTTTTCCTCTTTATAGTTAGACTGTAGGAGACCGGGGTTTTAATTCTTTGCAAACATCAGTAAAATCTCTAATCGGTTTGTATTTACTACTGACTCGTAAATTAAAAGATATTTTTCTTTGCATATTAAGGAGGGGGGGATCCAAATGTCACTCTTTCAGTCAGGAATAATAACATCGGGTATTGTTTTGGAACCAAATCCGCTCGTCGACTTGTGTGTACTTATTTCATAGATCAGCTGCGTTCCCTAATTGAAGTTCAGTGACTTTGACACAATGTCCCATTGTATGTAAAAATCTCCAAAATTACTCCGTAGGTATACACCAAGCAAAATTAGACGACAAATTAGGTACTTACATACCATGAATCGTCGAAGCTAACATAAGAACTGACTCTTAGATCTTTCTTAGAAACTAATATGTTTGTTGTTAGTAAACTTAGAATTTCTGCAGATTCCATCTTTCGCGGTTCCTTTTCACGAGGTACTGAACACAAATACAATAATGTAGCACGCACATGATTGATTTTATTATTACAGATTACACGAAAGCGCATTTGTTTATCACGGCCCACATTTGTTGTTGTTCGTGTTGTTGTTTTGTTTTAAGGTGGATCCCTACTACTGTAGTTGAGAAAACCGCCACCACGTGGCGCTTCGCCGAAATCTGTCGTTTTTTCCATGTTTTTCGATGCATCTGGGCGATTTGCTCAGACATACGCCAGACTTGCGAAATTTTCTTAACGTTACTACAAAGATTATAGTATGCTGAAATTTTGATTCCTCCCTCAAATGGGGTGGAGGGGGCCGCGACTTTTTTTTCAAATGGCAACCCCTGTCTTGATATACTTCATTCGAAAGAGAATAAAAAACTAAGAATTTTGGCGGAAACCGCAGATCAATATCTTAATTTTTGACCGAGTAATGATAGGTCAAAGGTAAAATTTGACCTTTTTTCAAAAAATCATAACTCCGGCTCAAATTATCGTAAAGGAAAAAATAAAACAAGAAAATTTACGAAATTGTGTTCACTTTTCAGTAAAAATTGCAGTAATCACTTCGAACTAATTTTAAGGGGGTCCGAACTCCCCCCCCCCTTAAAATTCGTTCGAAGTGATTTCTGCAATTTTTAGTTAAAAGCGAACACAATTTGGTAAATTTTCCCGCTTTATTTTTTTCTCTACGATAATTTGAACCGGAGTTATGATTTTTTGAAAATGAGTCATATTTGACTTTTGAAATATCCTTACTCGGTCAAAAATTAAGATATTGATTGGCGGTTTCCGCCAAAATTCTTAGTTTTTTATGCTCTTTTGAATGAAGTATCACAAGATAGGGGTTGCTACTTGAAAAAAAGTTGGGAGCCCCGTCCACCGCTTTTGAGGGGGGAACCAAAATTTTGACGACCCCCCCCCCCAAAATATGGTCCCTTTTGAGACAGGAACATTCCCAAAGTTTCATTTTTCTATCTCAAACCGTTCAAAAGTTAGAGGGGGGGCTGGACTTTTGGAACACCCTGTATATATTTTTCATCAGGATTGAAAGCTGAATCCGAATCCGTCGCAATAAAGGAAAAACTGACCAATGATAAAAAAATTGGTAGCCGATTTCTCGCCTACCAGTAGATCACGATGACAAGGGTCCGGGCGTCGTCAGGTAAAGGCTCGGTGTGGACACAATGGTAACATTACCTCGGTGAGATCGACGCTCCCCTGGCGGCTATGCGCCGGGATCAATGGTTGCCATTCTTGCCTCGCCTGAAAATACCCGAATTATTCCTCGGTTTAATTGGTTTTCACAGACTCGGTATGAGGGGCGGGAGCCCTTTGACTGGCTGTGACGGCTCGCTACGCCCGGAACAGCTAGTATTATATAAAAGCTTCAGACAACCATTATGGCTAGATATGAAAAGTACGTAGAAAAGTACATATAGTACGCACCCATAGAGGGTGACTAAGGTCGAAAAACATTCAAAAGAGCTAACTTCAAGTAAAAAAAGGTCGCTAAAATCGACATCCCGGTCAATTTTGTAATTGTGGGAATCCAGGTACAACTATAATTTTTTGATTTGCTGTATATGTAGGTAAGAGCTCTTACTCACGTCAAGATAAAAGTTAAACCCCACTTTCTTGGATCTTAAGCGTGGCAATTTATCGAATTTTCGCCATTTTTGGCTCTTTGGGACGATTTTTCTCGAAAATTTGGCAACGTAGGAAAAAGTTTCACAGAACATTTTTTATTCATTTTTCTGCGTTCTTCTCAAAAACGTACACGGTTCTGAGTTTGAATTGATTTCTGTGTGTGTAAAATTGAAAAAACCCCTTATAAATGGGCCAAAAATGGCAACAATGGGCCATAAGGCCCCTTAAAATTTATCGGAGGCCTATAAAAAGGCCAGAAACGGAAAGTACGCAAAAAAATACATAAAAATCATCTGCTGAAAAAGTGATAACAGCTAGTCGAAAAAGTCGACGAAAATAATTATTTTTCGACGCCAAGATTCTGGGTTTGAGGCGTTGTTGCGGTAAAATATCTGGCATAAAGTCTACCTAGGACTAGTACTTTGAAAATATGAAACATTCAGCAAAATCCAGGTGGGGCCGGAAAAGGCCCAAAACGATAATCCTCCTTTCTCTTAACTACTTCCCATCGCATTCCTGAAAGTATTTGACAAGCGTTATCACACAGAACTTTGGAATCAATTGTGAACCACGCGGAATCAAGAAAATATATTGAAAAGTGAGAAAACTCCAAAATTAAACGAAAAATGAACACACGTAATGAGCAATGACCAAGCAATTCACTCTGACTCGTCGAGACTTGATTCTAACCTCAATAAACAACGCTGAATGGTGGCTCGATTTCTCCCGAATAGATAGTTTTCGATACATCAAATAGGTGAGATTGTATCGATATCGATTGGTTCAACATGTAAACATAGCCTCATAAGTCAATCGAGTAATCTGAGATAACAGGGTTTTTCTGATAGATTTTTAATTCTTATGAGTACTAAATGACATCGCAAGGTGAAATAGTTAGGAATTTACTCATTTTCAGCTTTTCCGATGGAAATCCTGAAAGTTTTGTTTGAGGTTATGATCTTTTGTTTGGAATCAAACGATACATCGAACCACTATTGGAAACGGTCTATATATTGAAGGCTGGCGGCAACTTTAAATTGACGCACTGAATAACATTGACGTAAAACATTATAATTTTCTGCAAATTCATACGAGGCCGTCTCAATTTTAATTTGATGGTGACGCCATTTTCCCGAAAACTGAACCTCACCTCACTGCCAACAGCCATGGAAGCGGTTGGTTTGGATCCTGAAGCCCGTAACTTACTCACGGCTCCTATCCGGTCTTACGGCTTCGGAGGCCGCGCGGACTCCAAGGGACTCCGGCCACTGAGTTCGGTATTAGCTGGCTCACGGCGCATAAACACCGGAGTGACCAGTGTCCAGAGCAACGCGGGTCACTAGGCCGTAATTTATTTATTTATTTATTTTTTTTAGTGTATTTTTCCCATCGCCTGCGGTTGTTTCTACCATTATTTGTTATTTAATTCCTTATAATCCCTGTGATTCTTCCCCTTATTGCCCATATGTCGCCGGTCAGCGGATACCAGTATTTGGTGAGGGGACCTTCTTCAACGCATGCATGAAATTAATTATTTATTCCTCTTAATTTGACCGATCAGTATTATCACTCGCGACTTTTAAACGGAGCTTCGAAGAATTTATGTATAACTGCAACTTAGGCACGTTTCATAAAAGTTTTGCCAATATTTTGATCATTAAGAATGCCTGACTTAGCTGTATTTTTAACGTTAGGTATTATAAATTGCTGCTTCCTTTTTTCAAGACCCGTGAGTGGAATGCAGTTTCCATTGAGTCAGAGAGCAGGAGGAAGTGGAATGAATACGTTCAGTGTATTGATGATATTGTATTAGAAGGCCTAATCAAAGCAGTTACATGCAGGTATGTAAATCCAAGCGGTCAAAATTAACATTTTCGTTAGTCCTCGTCCTCCTAAGAAAAAAGAGCGGCTCAAATTTATATGTACTGCATTTTGCAATTAGGAACTATAATTTCAAGCTTAGTTTAAAAACAATCCACCATTAGTTTCCCAATAGACGTGCCTATGCTTTGTTTAAGGATGTGTCAAAAATTGAAGTTCCTAATATAAAAATGTACAAATAGTCTATATGAATTGACAAGGAAAGGAACCGATTGTAATCGCAAATTACGACAGTAGAATTTCGGCTAAGTAACACTCATAGAGTACAATAGAGTCGCAATGTACTGGAGCGCTGATGAAGTCAATCCGTGAACGGGCCTTTCCGAGCCGCTTGTGCTCCGAAAAGTGTGAACCAAGTGTGAACCCAACGGCATTTATTATCGTGGTGGCTTATGGAGAAATCAAGAACGGCTTGTGTTTTTCCGACATTTTTTAATTCAATCAGCATTCATTTTTGCAAATTTTGCTATTAACAGGTAGCCAATGCCATAGTGAATCCATTAATGTATCATACCCTTGAATAATATTCAAAAAAGGACGTAAATTGAGACTTAAACCAAGTGTCAACCGACCGGCATTTCTTATCACGGCGGCTTTCGGGAAAAGCAACGACTGCTTGTGTTTTTTCGACATTTTTTAATTCAATCGATATTAATTTGTGCAAATTTTGCTATAATCAGATAGTCAAAGCCATAATGAATCCATTGATGTACCTATGTTACCTCTGGATAATATTCATATAGGGATTTAATTTCTGGCTTATACCAGGTGTGAACCAACCGGCATTTTTAACACGGTGGCTTGTGGAGAAATCAACGACTGCTTGTGTTTTTTCAACATTTTTTAATTCCATCGATATTAATTTGTGCAAATTTTGCTTTGAATAGATATTCAAAGTCATAATGAATCCATTAATGTATGTTACTCCTAGATAATATTCATATATGGACTCAATTTCAGACTTATTACCGGCCTACTTGGCTGGCTCAATGTGCGTGAGCCTAGCACACGACGGAGCCGAGTTGGGAGTGAGGAGCGCGAGCGCGAGTCCCCGCGCATGCGTCTCGCTAGTCGTCGCACACTAGTCTCCGGAGTACTGGACAAAACAGCCTCCAAAAGTGGCTTCATCGGCGCTCCAGTACATTGCGACTCTATTGTACTCTATGGTAACACCTAAGTAACAATAAAAAAGACATTATTAAAGTATTCCTACTTTTACGCCCAAAAATGTGTAATAAGACCGCACTCCTGCGATTATGGAATACAGCATCACTTACTTTGCTTAGTTTTACTGAACGAGGGCTATATTATTACGCTACAATTGCTTTGTTGATTGTTGCTCTGCACTGTATAGCAACGCATTCGCAGGTAAATATCAGTTCACGCGCACTGGGGTCACTTAATTTCTTTCCTTTGAAAGTTTGACTTAATTCCGAAAAAACAGCTTTATTAATACCTTCGATCATTTTTTAAATAATATTAGTTGGCGCAAAACACCTCCCTTAGTGGAGATTTTGTGATCCAGCATCCCTCTAGCCCAATTGAGAGCCCACTAGTCAATATCAGTGTCTTCTCATTTCCACACCCCTCAGCAAGACGAGAAAGACTTTGTGTAGAGGATCCGTCTGTGGACATGGATTGACACTCTCACTTCCCTGAGCTGGCAACCGACAACAACCAAGCAACCAACAACAGATTGTGATACACTTTTTCCTAATTAAGGAAAGAGCTCGATTCCAAAACGGCTTTTTTTCGCCCCCCCCCCCCCAGAATTCCTTCAAACTGTCTATTGATTACTTATACTTGAGTGCTTCTTTTCCCAAATTTTCAGACCCCCAAAAATTTTCGGTATTCACTAGGGGGGTCGAAGGTCAAAACCTGTGAACCTTAATAACTCTCGGACAAAAAATGTTATCGAGGTTCGGTTTGGACGAAAAATTGTGTAAAATTGTTTACTTTCAAATTTTAAATATCAACATCCCTAAATCACATTTTCAAGTTAATATAAATGCTTTTTTCCAGTTATTGAGTCATGAAAATTTCTTTTAAACAAAGAATTTACAGTGTACTCAATCATTTAGTTTAACAAAAATTGGTTTCTTTTGAAGGGTTCGTCTTTTTCCGCATCCAACGAATGGTCCATTAAGCTGGGGAACCGAAGGGTTCGAGAGTAATGAACGATTGAAGTTTCCGCTCAACGCGCGCCGACTGATTTTCGCGCTCAAAAATATGGTTCCACAGCCAAATTTGGGCATTGATAAATCAGATTAAATGTTCAAATCGTACAAAATACATTTTTAGGAATTCTTGAGGGTCACTAAGTTCCAGTATTACGGATACTTCCAAAGATTCATTTCTTCCTGTAGCGCTACTTGAAAGGCCCACTTAGTGGCGACCGATCGGCTAAACTAAACTAACTCAAGAACTGAAAAAAAGCACGCACGTTAACCTGAAACTGTGATTTAAGGATTTTGAAATTTAGAATCTTAAAGTAAGCAATAAGTAAAGCAATCTTAAAGTAAGCAAGACAATTTTTCGTCCACAGCAGACCTCCATATTTTTTTTCGTTTGCGAGATATTGAGGTTCACAGGGTTTGACTTCCGATCCCCCTAGTGCCTGCCCAAAATTTTTTGGCGGTCTGAAAATTTGGAAAAATAAGCACTCAAGTACGAGTAATCAATAGACAAAGTTTGAAGGAATTCCGGGAGGGGCGAAAAAAGCTGTTTTTGCATCAAACTCTTTTGATCGACTGAACGAATAGGCTTAAATTTTTTAAACTTTCCGTCTAACTTTGGACACTTCATAAAATACGTAACACTTAATTTGGGACTTTTCGAGCCCCTTCACTAACATTTTTGTGACGTAGGTCCCTATCTTTAACACATAAGAACAGAACGGTGTAATGCTGTTTCAACCCTCTGTCTTTCCCTTGTATCACGTATTTTATGAACAACTTATGTGCAAATAAAAAATTGGAAAAAAAGGAAGTAAAATAAGATGAAAGAATAACAATTAGATATTTTCATGAATACAAACTTCCTAACTTTTTTAATTTTTTTTCTCTTTTCTTCATAACTTGAAATTTTTCAGGAGAATGATTGGTACAAAAGACTTATTCATTCAGCCCCTATTCTAAAGTTAAGGCTCGGAGCGTTCATAAATTACGTGATGCTATAGGAAGGGCGAGGAGGCGCGAGCCTGCAATACGCTCGCTACGTCAAGGAAGAGGGGTCAGCACCTGCGTTACGTAACCTTCTCAATGGGTAAAAACCCGCAAAATCTAAAATGTGCATCCTCATATTTTCTTCGTTATGTGTCACACTATCATCATTAATATTTCAAATTCTATCCAGCCAAGTACTCAACGGTTTCTTACAATTTTTGGAATGCCAAAAGGAGGTGAGGCCCGTCAAGCGTTACTTAATTATCAAGGTGGAGTCCAAAGTTGCACCACGTGTCGTTGGAAGAGGGAGGAGGTGGGGGGGGTCGAAAATGTCAAAAAAGTCCATAGCCTAATTAATGAATGCTCTGTAATGACTTCGAATTATTTCGAAAACATATCTTACCTATATAGGTATAAATAGAAATACTCTAAGATTTCCCACCGTAATTTCATCAGTGGATATTGATGTTCTTATACTAAGAAAGTATGTAAAAACATAGAATGATTGTTTTATTCCCGTGAAACTGCGAACTTCCTTGTTGGGATAGGACTTCAATTCCATAAAAAATACTTATACCTTTACATACGTTCACTGCGGATTATACCTGATCCATCACCTCACTTGTGTGTTTCTAATTTTTCCTTCTATGCTTCAATATTTAGTTTCGGGTATCTTGAAGAACAAATGACTTCAAACTCAAATACCACGCCGCTGTTAGAGGTGTCCATGCACTTGGTTGAACCGTTTGTCTTATTCAAGCCATCTTTAGACATACAGGATCATGAAGGTCTATTTTCATTGATTATAAATTTGATCGATGAAATTCAAGCTATGAGCGAGTATGCACATCAACTGTCTACTGAAAATCTCGGAAAAACTTTTCGGGTAAGGAGTTTATTGAATTTCTCTCTCCTCGTGTTCAGCGGCTAAAAACTACCAATTTTTTCTAGTACAGTCCGTGTTTACCGTCAAAATTTCGTGGGATGAAAATTTAGTTAGGTAACTCTAAAAATGATGAGGAAATAAATTAATATTGTGTTTTAGATAGTTCTTACAAGCACACGGAAATAGTATAGTGACTGCGACCACTCTGATGTCTGTTACGGACGTACATGTTTGCAGTTCGTTGGCTCTTCCCTGATCAAGTACTACAGGACAACTGTTCATGGTTTAATACAGCTTTCCCATCGTTACCACAGCTCTAAGTAAAATGAGTAAAAAGAGGGCCTTTAGAAGAGGCATCTTGCTCCATAAATCACTATGAGGATAGGAATACTACTTATTAATGAAATACCTACATTTCGAAGTATAAATTTTGAGTTAACATCACATCTTATTCTGTAAGAGCACTTCTATATTTATAGATAGAGCCTGCAGTAGCATAATTGATTTTTCATTGGAATTTCGATACAAAATTGAACATTGTATTCGTGAAATCCAAAAGTGATACCTAATTCAGTTTCAGAGAAATTTTTCGCTTGACGGATTTGAGAGGAGTGAGGAGGAAAAGAGATACAAGACAGTGGCACAATCAAAACTTAACTGGGGGTTTATTGCATGAATTTACAGGTATCGTACACATACAGGGGTATTACCCTCAACTCGACCACCATGTGTCACACTGCCCGCCGCATCTCGGCCCGGAGTTAAAAACGTAAACACTGAGCTGTGGTAATTTTTTACAAGGTTAGGTGCATTTTCCAAAAGAAGTCCTACGGCGACACACGGGAGATTTATTCTTGGTTTGTGAAGCACCGACGCTACGGTCGGTGGCAAGGCGCGGAGTTCTGTGGCGTCATCATGAATCTCTCCATAGGTGACAGGAAAATACAAAACAAAACAAGAATCGGTTTGTTCCGAGAATGTGCTTGTAACCGTAGCTAAATGTTTAGTGCAGAAGAGGAATCATAACTTTTTTGAGATGCTCCACAGTTCAATTTCTTTGTTCGGTACCTACTCAGTTTCCCTTAATTTCTCATTAACTCTTGTTTTTAATATTGTAAGTACTATTTCAAGCATTTGTGATAAATTGTCCACACTTGATTACCACCTGTCTACAAGAGTTTTTTCTAGGATCAAGTGCCTATTTCATTTTGATCTCCTACTTCAATTTTTACCTATTGTTCAAGTTTCCACATCATTAAGTTTCTACAAATTTATCAGTCATTGTTTACGATCGCGACTCCCTCTCTTTCAAAGCCACGAGGTTTCAAACATCCCGAGGAATATTTTTATTTTGTCACTAACACACCGAATAATGTTCTTCGAAAAAATATTCATTTTTTTGTTTTTCAAACCGTGAATGTCTACTGGTTGTTGGGTATTTAACTTTAATTTTATGTCATTTTAGGAATATTTTTCTTGTTAGCATAGGTAAGTCATCGAATGCTGTGTCGTTGCCCCCTCTTTTTCTCGTCACACTCTTTCTAAAAGGAATGAATGGGCCTTTTTCTTTCTCTTTCAACTGAAATGAATAGCCTTCTGCACGCTTCCCCTTGCATGAATCACAAGTCGCTCTCCTTCTCGCTCCTCTCTTGCGTATGTATGTGTATATCTCTCTCTAATCTTCAATCCTCGGCTCTGCATTTCTTCTCGCTCTCACTACCTCATCCAACGTTGCTCTTTCTCTCTCTCTCTCTCTCCCCCTCCCTCTCTCCCCCTCTCTCTCCCTCCCTTCACCACCCCCGCTTGTCTTGAGGACTCCACTGCGCATGCGCGGCACGAGATGCGGTGCATCTCTTGGAGTTAAATCAGTTGAGAGAGCCGCGTTAGTCCTCGCATAGAATAATAAAGCTAACGCCTATAGAAGGGGCACTCGCGTAAGTGGCCGTTGTGACTCTCGCCTGCTGTGTCCAGGTTTGGTTAGGTCCCGTTGCCCTATACTTTTCTGAACCCGCCAGCTCTTTGCAAGGTTGTCAAATGTAATAGTAGGGCCCAGCTAATTGCAGGGTTGCGAAATGTAGTCAGTGGTGCCAACGAAGAGTCTAATGTTTTGTAAGTGTAAAAGTCACCGTCACAGAGTAAAAGAGTTTGAGTACCAAAATTAATGTAACGGAAACGATTTCCACAGCCTCGTCGTGCTCATGCTGGCCAGATGACTGATAAAATCAGATGTGATCAGCTACAGTTAGAGTGTTACAGTTGGCTATTGCCACCATTTTCATTCTGAATGTAAACAATACCCGCCAGCTCCAGCTCAAGAGCTCCAGGTCCCTGTTCTTCTTCTTCGTCATGAAATCTGCGAGAGTGTCCTTTCTATAGGCGTAGCCTTATTATTCTATGGTCCTCGTCAGCTCTTCGCTCTGAATCAACCTCACGCTCTTGCGACTCCGTCAAATGCGGAAAACTTTCCCGTGACGTATATCTCTTGAGGCAACGATACAAACATCGTAGATTGTTTGTATTCTTCAAAATAAACTTCAACTTCACCTGCATATCGATTGGTTCACTATCATTTTATCAAGTAAGTCTCATCTGGGAGGACCTCAGCACAGGAGGCTTCGCAATACGACTTGTCGTGTTGACTTCGTGTCTCCCCTGATTTTTACTCTCTTATACGGTACGAGTGGTAGTTCGACACGATTTTCGTGTTGACACTCGTGCTGTTGAGAAATCTACGTAGTTTTTTACTAAATTGGTCCCTCGGTAGACATCGAGAATTCGGAGACGAATTCTTCACTGGTAAAAAGTGCTCCTGAATAATGTAAACATAAAAAAACAAGCAGTGAACTCCAACACAATGTGTTGATCAGGCGCGTCATTAGCTCACACGTATCAACCCCTGTAGTTTTCATTTACAGAGATTTCAAAATAGGCAAGTAGCACAACAAGAGAATTCATACGATCCAACTCTTCGACGACGCACTTTGACGAGACCGTGTATTGTGAATGTAGAATGCCATTCGAACGAGTGATCTGCCCCCAGCAATATCTTATCAGATTCTTAAAGAAAAGTGCTACGGAATAATTTAAGCGAAGAAAGGAAAAATTCTGTCGAACTCCTGAAAGATACAGTCGATTAAAAGGTATTTTTGGGGCTTAAATATCCAAATCACCGGTACCTATTATAAATCCCGATATATTATTGAAAAGAAATTGACTCGATATAAATATAATTGCATTAAATATGTCTTGATTTTGTAATTTTAAACGTATTTTCATGCAAAGAAGTTCAACCATGTCCATGCTTTATTCATTCATGAATTGAAAGTAAGCAATCTACATCCCGAAAATCTACCGATTTGCCGTAAAAAATTGCAAAAACTTAATATACCAGGTCGATGCACTCACTCGTTGAATTTACCAACCAATTTCGTGGGTGCAAATATATAAAAATCAATATGCTATAGTCATTTTGGGTGCATTTATTTTTCATGAAAAAATAATAATTTCAATCCCGAAAAAACCATCAATTTTCCGTATAAAATCGAAAAAATCGAGATGTGTCGACTCCCTGACGTGAAAATTAGATTCTACGTGTAAAAATACTTACACATGGATATGCTGAACAGAAACCATGTGTGGACACAGTTAGGATACATAGACCCAGAATACTTTTAAAGCGCCTTTACTTTCCAGAATCTTGACGGAATTTATTTTTGGCTTAAACGACTCAAGAGACACTGTAGTTAAAAAATATAAAGAATTTTCGATTTTGACACAAAAAAAAATGTTCGTTTAGGCACACCATGTACTGTATGGTGTATTGCGCTGGTATTCAATCCTTGCCTTCAGATCAAAATTTTTACAAGGAAGCCCCTTGCAAGAGGCGAATTTTTTGTAATTTCACCCAATTTTTTCTCCGTTATATAGTTGAATTGCTTGCCAAATTCTGAGGTCAATTATATTTAATTGTAATTTATACATTTCTTTTTTCCCCTTCATTTTATTTTTTGTTTGGAGAAGTTTCGTTGATTTCTTTGGATTTCGAATACTGTAACTTCTCTTCTATTCGGCCGATTTTTATGAATGAGACCTCTTTCAATTCGTCTTTGAACGGAGAGTAAGAAAAAATTGCTAAGTACTCGCGAAACAATTTAACGAAAATTTGATGGATCCCAGCGTGACGGTGAAATGGGTAATCGAGTGAAAGTAATTAGGTCTGACTGTGGCGAGGACCGCGAGGGTCGCCTTTTGTTCTTCAGCTGGGAAGCGACGCGGCGAACCGAGCCAGGACCGGGACTCTACCTGGGTTTTATGCCTGCCTGTGCACTGTTTTGGCCTGATAAGGGAGTGAATTTCTGTATGAGCCACGGTCAGCACATGGTCTAATGAGCCTCGAGGCTCATCACAGATTGCACTTACCACTATCCTGCTGGCCCTGGCTATCAGAGCAAGGGCTACCAAATTTTGAAAATCATAACAGGATTGTGGAGATCTGTCAAAGCAACGTTTTAAACAAAACGAAGAAGTGAAATTCTCATTCAACGAGTGCCGACCTGATCAGCCATCCTCGAATCAGTTCGCTTGCTTCTGCTTATATATGCATATTTAGAATCAGCGCGTCGCATTCCTAGGCTTTTTTTAAAAAAACCAAGTAACGTAGACTCTTGGTATTTACTGCACATAAACTAATGAGCCCCAGAATGAGAAACAACTTTAAATCATAATCATTGACGGATAAATAAACTTTTTACACGCTTTGGAAAATCTCAGAAGTTCGCGGTAGTCACTTTTCGGTAAGGAACTAAGGGACTCGGTTATTGTATCGAGTGGGGGGTCGAAACGATCGCAAAGGCGGTATACTACGTATACGCGCCAAAATAAAATTAAGGAAAACCAAGTCTTAGTTCCGTTAGATAAAATCGACTATTAATTAGAACGAGCGGTAAAAACTTTCAAAAGCTATATTGTCCCCTTATGTGCTTTTCATTGTACAGCTTATAAAGTTTTGAATTAAAACGAAAGGAGCTACCATTATAGTGA